AGTAGCAATGGAAATTGCAGAGTTTTGAACTTGCATCAGTGGTTTTCTTAAGCTGTGCATCCCCCCTCCTAAAAAAAAGACAACCCCCTACAATTCTGTTTTCAGTAATACTGCCCAGTGTGCATAGTGTGATTGCATTAATCCATGTCAGCTGAATTTTGTCACTGCAGTGCATTTCTCTGCTAGTGATCTAGATGATCAATGCAAGAAAAAAATGATTAAAATGGTATCTTTGTGTCCACTGAAAAAAAACACATGCAAAGTAATTTTTAAAATCACTTTCCAAATGTCTTCTGGTGCAGTAAGGTGAGAGAGTGTGTTTTTGGAGAAAGCGAGTAGAAAAACTGTTTCCATCTGAAGCTGTTTTGCAGGAGGTATTCTTAGGATGACTCAGGCACAAGGCCTGAGAATTGTGCTTGTCTTTAACTGAAGGGGAAAAAAATGCTGACATTTTCCTTCCAGCTGTTTTGGTTAAATACTTGAGTGTACAACCCCAGCCTTTCAGGCAAGATGTGAGCTCATATTTCTCAAAGTTTTGATGAAGTAGCCTGTCTTAGCATCCAGTATGTTGTAAATCTGCTGATTTTCCACTTATCCATAAACAGAGTATGTGAGATACTAAAAATAAAACCAAGGCCCTTTTTATTGTTTTAGAGCAGAAGCTTTGTGTTTTCAACAAGAAGCCAAAACCCCCCTTTTACAGTGGTACAGACACATTCAAATGTGTACAATAAAAAATATTGATGTTTGGGCATTTTGCATAAGCTTAATGAGCACTTCTTACCCATCACTCTCATGTGCTTTTCTGGTGACTTAAAAGCAATTGTGTCCTCCTCAGTGACTGGTTCTCTGTTCCTGTGTGTGTTGTTATTCTGCAAGGTGACTTGTTCAGCAGGACTCATTACACCAGCACGGGAGCTCTCTTGAGCAAAAAAGAGATGGAAAAAAACTAAAACAAAACCCCCAAATGAACCCAGAAATGTAAGATTTCTTTTGCTCCAGCTAAAATTGCTGTCAGAAGTTACTGGTTTTATATTTTGCAAACCTCACACTTTTCAGTATCTCTGTTTTCCTTTGCTGAAATTCCCAACCCTTTATTTTTCTTCGTTAACTGACTGTTTAAATAAGGCCTTAAAAGTTTTTCTTGAGAACTCCTAATGCATTTCTGATACACATAAACATGTTAAGGTTTGTGTATGTTGGTATGCTGATATCTTAAAAAAAAAAGAAAGTAAATATCTTTCTAAACTACATTTTATTTGTGGTGTAATTAAAATATATGAGGTGAATCTCAGTGAAGATCAAAAACAGACAATGTAAAGCTGTTGAAAAATCTAGTTTATTTTACTGTTTAAAAACTCACCACAGCACCACCGTATCTGACTCAGACTCTTGGTATCCATTTAATGATCTATCACAGCAGGAGGTGTGTAAAACAAGAAGCATGTATTAAAGCATGCCGATCTCCTTCCTTGTGTCCCTAAAAAGCACAGGGACATTGCCTATTTAAAACACCAAGGAATTTGATGATATTTCCACACAGCAGATACCTGCTGGAAGAGCTTTGTCAGACAATAATGTAAAAAGGTATAGTAGTGGAGTAAGAAAAGCATTGCACCCTTGTTTCATCTTATTTTGCACACGTGCATATATATATATATATATAAATAAGTATGTGTAAAAGCCAATATAGCCATAAGTATGTTTTTAAGTAAGTACACACATATTAAAAAAAAACCCCACTATTATGATATTATCTGAGCTTTCCTTTTTTGAACTACACACTTGCCTGGGATAACCAAGAGCTGGCTGCATAGCTTGTTACACTGGTATCACATGGAATCACATGGCAATTTCCTCTTTTATTTCTTTTTCCCCTCACTTGGTGAGAAGTGTTGCATCTTAAGTAAGAGTGTCTGGCACCATCATCATCTGCTTCTAGATGTGTGCTACTCTAGAAGGCTGTCATCTGAAGTTTGGGGGCATTAGGATAGGTCTTGCAGTAAAGTAGTCAAGATAGGTACTGTTCTGTCATTTTATGGGAAATGAAGAGGGTGCCATATCTGCCATGTATTAGAAATTTCCATTAGTTAAATTACTTTCTTTTATCCTAGGAGAAGTAAATAATATTCCAGTTTCTTTTGTAAAATTTTCAGATTAGACAGTATCTCCATTATCACAGGTTTAAATCTGAAATAATACTAAATCAAGTGAGTAAGGAGTTGTATAATATTATTTGCAATTAACAGTGCAGTTTTCAGTTCCTCCTGGGCTTTGCAGATGAGTTTTATGTAACGTATTTTTGCTTATAAGGAGTTTTCAAAGGTATGTACCGTTAAGAGAATCTGTCATATAGTTATGAAATAATATGACATGTAATATGTAATTTGCCTTAAAATGTTTCACATATGGGTAATTTAGGGAGATATGAGAGAAGGAATTTACTGGATAATCTGAATTTGCTGTTAATTAGCAAGTTATTGTCAGCATTGAGGTGGCTGTGTTTTGGTGCCACTGGTGTGATTCCAAAGCCTGCTCTTCCCACCTGCTCTACAGAGGTTTGGGATGACCCATTTCTTCTTTCCAGCCTGGAACACAGTGGTTCATAAGGCAGTCATCCATATAGGATCTGTAGTGGTAAAATGCAGCAGGCTGGGAAGCAGCTGTCACAAATTTTGTACAATGGTGTTAAACACGCCTTGGTGTAACAACAAGAGCAGGTAGCTCTATGCTATGGGTTGTTCCAAAGATGTAGCTCACAATGAAACATTTAGGAAGCAGACCCATGCTAACATATGCCCTGCCTCATTTGCAGTCAGAATCGGAACCAGCACTGAATTTTTCCATTGTTTGCAATGCTCAGAAGTGTTCTGCACAGAGATACCTCCACAGGTACGAAGATGTATACGCAACAAATATAACTCACTGGGGGAAACACGTCAGGAGATGTAGGAGACTTTCTGGCTGGGTACCAAGAACATGTTTACCTAGTTATTATTTGTGTTATTTGTAGTTCTTTGTTTGGGATTACTCTCTGACAAAGGGGTGGTTGTGAATTTCTGGTAGGAACTCTTTTTTTCCTTTAATAAGAGAAAATTCAGCTAAGGAGATCAAAGCGATTAATCTTTTTGGCAATCTAACATAGCATGCTTCCAAAATACTTCAGTAATTTTTCTCTATAAAATAGGATGATGGTGAATTTAAATGCATACATTCCTTGTAGCATTTATCTGAAATATGCAGATAATTCTTTTAAGAATGAAACTGCAGTTGTTTGTCTACTTAAGCATAAATTTTGGTGACAAATTGTTTACATTCTCTCAAGAGAGAAACATATCTTACGCATATCTCTAAACAGAGGGGAAATGGGTTTGATAGCCAGTCTATGGGTGTGATTGCTTGTTGCATTTGGTCAATCCTACAGCTCCATTTACAGGGTTAATTTGTTGAGGTTTATTGTTTCCTGTGTATTTCCTGTATATGTTAGTGTATTTCATCCCATGTCATGCACCTTTGTAAATTGCTTATTCCATCACCTTTCTGTAAAGCAATAACCTGTGGGAAAACAATGAGATTAAGATAGACTTTTCTCTAATAACATTATTGGCACATATATATAAAAGATGCATTGTTTATGTTTCCTCTTATTTTTGCTAGAAAGCATTATTTACAGCCATTCCTATTAAAAAAAAAGTATAGATACATACAGTATTTCAGCCATAGTTTAAGTCCAGGAAGATGTTAAATACTAAGTCTTCAGTGCTTAAAGTAAATCTGCATAACTGGGTTGGGAAATTGCTGGTAAAGGATGGTTCTTTTTTCGAGTTGCTTATGCTTGTCTTCAGCAGCCAGTAAGCCAGTACAAAAGAAACTGTGTTATAAAACTTCCCTTTAAATATGTACATCTGTCTCGCTAACCTCAAAGGAAGAAGGAAGAGGTTTGGCTTTTAAAATTGCTGTAATAGTCTTTAGACTTTCTCAGAAGCTTCGTTTGCTCCAGCTTCGGGAGCAAATGAAAAAAACAAAACCAAACAACAAAATCAAACAAACAAAAAAAAAGAAAGCCTTAACAGTTGTTTTGGAAAATGAACAGTATTATCTGAAAGCCATGTGCCAAGCTCAGACCTTGGGCAGACAAGCTGTAGTTTGATGTGGAACTCAGCTTCTCCCACTGCCACTGCTTCTTAGCAACATAACATGAAGCCATCCTGAAACCACTCAGAGGATTATTTGCTACCAAAAAAAATAGAACTCAAGTTTTATTCATTCCAGTTGCCCCTTTTCTTGCTTCTTGCTCTGCACTTGCAAATGCACACACGTGCAGAACAAGCCCCCCTCCCCCTTTCCCACTGCATCTTCTGCACAACTTTGGCAGAAACACAGTTCCCATCACTGATGTGTCTGGAGGGCAGCAGGTGATTTGCGATGAACAGGACGAGAGTAAAGACTGAAGGCCTCTTTTTGCTCCTGTTGTGTCCATAGGAATTTGGGTAGTTTCACGGAGGAATAAGCATGGGGCTGCTGCTCACCCCCCACTGCTCCTGTGTGACAGTGCTGGCTCCATCACTTCATGTGGCAAATCCTGTTTGCTGTCTCTATCGCTGTGGTTAATGCCCTGTTGTCTTTCTAACAGCATTTTTTCAAAAGCTTATTAAAATACTCTGTAATGCACCGTAATACCTATTCCGAAGAGTCCCCTGACTGCATTAATTATTATAGATGGTACAAAGCTATGGTGGGATTAGCTGCTGGCTGCAGATCCAATGCCAGTGCTTTTCTTTCTGCAGTTCCATGTAATTTAACATGTCAGTAGCCTTGCTAGTAAAACATGATAGAATTTTATGTGGCTGTATTACTCATAATGTACTGCATATTTACCTGTGAATGGCATCACTCCTAGGTATGTACAGATAGTTCAAGACAGATTTCAGTAAATGACTTTCTAAAAATCTTATAGTATTTTATAGAAGTATTTTAATAATGACTTCTTTTTCTTGCAGACAAAATTGAAGAAGCACAAAAACAACTTAATGGAACAGAAGACCAACAGAGAGGTAATAAACAAACCCCCAAAATGAAATGGAAAAAGCCTCATTGTGATTCCAGAGGCTGATCCAAAGCCTTCCTGCATCAGTGAAAAGACTGCCCTGGACTGAGCACTGTATGAGGCCCCAGGCATATCTGTCTGCAGACCAGAGACTGTGTCTGTAACACCCCAATTTGCTGAGACACAAAGGCTTTGTTTTAACCACTCGAGTTGCTGCCTTGACCTTGATAAGACTGCTGAAGCTGTAGTATCAGAGATGTGCACGACTTACTGACTATAGCTTGTGCTAACCATTGGTTCGTTATATGATTTACCTAATCATTAATAACCACATTTGGTTTATGGCAAGCGCAGTATGTGATGATTCCTAACAGATGTTGAAGGGGGATGGATCATCACAGGTTATTTTAAGAAACAGATGACCTGTGACAGATTAAATCTGTGTGTTAGAGCTTAGAAAGCTGGTGGTAAGTCATTGTATTTCAAGGCTGGCTGACTCCAGAGGTACCTGTTTGGTTGTGTGTTGGTTGTGTGATAAAGCTCTTCCTCTTCTGCACACCCACAGAGATGCTCAGAGAAAGGGAGTGGGACAGGCAAATAGTATTCTGCTGAGCTACGACTGGGCCCATCATGGGAGAGCTGTGAAAGGTTCATCTCCACAAGCCTGGAGAAGCACATGGGCAGAAATCCATATTATGGACTCAGGGAGTGAGACCCTGTCTGGATCCGTTCCAGGGCTGTCCGGGCAGAGCCTCAGCCACAGTGTCTGGGTGTGAAACCTGTCCCCATGAGCTATGGGGAGCAGCTCTCCAAGTTACCCCCTGGTCTAAGGGGGGTTGCCAGCTGAGGGTGTGGGACACGTAAGGGGACGCACAATAGCTTTTGGGCACTGCATAGGATTTATTATGGGATGTTTAGGGGAGGAACCAAAGGTAGGACAAAGATGGGATTTAAGAGACTGGGGCAGTAACAAGTATGGGATAATAAAGAGTTCATCTGTATAAAAAGCGGATTGGTCAAGATGCTTGTCTGGTGAAGCCCTGTATCTCACCAGCACAGTCTGTCTCCTTACTAAACTCCACCTTCAACTGGTTTTCAGTAAGGAACTCTTTACTCCTCGTGTGTGTGGGGGGTGTGTGTGCAGTGCAGCAACTGAAGTGAGTGTGGGTCTGATTGCTAGCAAAGATAATGCAGATGAGCCAGTGAGCAGGTGAAGTAGGCTGGGGGCCAGGATGGGTTTGGGAGTCTTGAAGGTCCACCCCTGGGTATGAGAGTAGCTTTATGTCCTTAGGGGTGAAAGCACAGGAGGGCAGCTGTAAGGAGCAGAGGAGTCCTGGGCACCTCTGGCTACATTTGTAATGGTCTGTACCAGCAGCTGGAGTGAGGCTGCAACCCTGGGGGCTCATATGTGCAGGTGCAGCAGCTTAGGATACTGATATTCAGGGGTTGCTACTTGGCAGGCTGAGTTTCTGAGCCCAGCTACTGGTGGGGTCTACCTCGGACATGGTGATACATTCCCAGTTAATGGACCTCTGCCCTGTTCAGGTGGATCAGGGAGCAGGATGAGTGTTGGTATGAGTGCTCAGAGTGTCTGTCTGGGATATGTATGTCCAGCTATATATGAATATATGTATGTATGCATGTGGTATATATGTGTGCTCTGTGTGCATGTCCCTGTTGGGAAAACATTTTCAGCCTTGCTGCTGGTTGGACGTGGGGGCATAGCGCAGCAGCAGCAGCCTCATTTCTCTTGAGCTGCCCAAATTGACATGAGATATTTTTCTCTAACAGTACCCTCTATCAGTGCTTTTTCTTTTCTGGGTAAGCATTCACCTTTCCTGGTAGTGAGCTGTCCTTCTGGTCTGTGACACATCTGTGAACAGTGCTGTAAATTGCTGATGCTCTGTCCTGGAACCAGAGTTTCTTTATCTTTTGAAACAATGAACTTCAAAACTTTTTGAAGATCAGAGAACAGAAGTGCCCAAGCGGATCTCAGTAGGGTCCATCTGGCCCAGAATTCGGTCTCCAAGAGGCAATAGCATGTACTGTTTAAGGACAGCACATAAGCCTGGCCACTTTCTTTAGTCCATTCCCCTCATGCTCTTCACAGACATTGGATTAGGGATATCTGCCTCATCCTTTTAGTTCCTAGACATTTATGGAGCTGTTACCTATGAATCCTTTTGATTAAATGTTGTCTGCATCCAGTTTTCTATGACAGCAAACTGCAGAAGTTCCTTAAAAATAATTGCTAAATCGCTAAAAGTGATTTTTTTTTTTCTCAGTTTTCAGCAGGTGTCCCCCAGTTCAGCCATTGTGGGATTTGTTAAATAGCAGTTCTCCAGTCATCTTATCCACTGCCTTCATGATTTTATAAATCTCCTGTATCTCGCTCCACTTTCCTTTCTCCAAACTCATGACTGGTTTAATTTTTCAAGGGAAGGTTTGATATAAACTGTCTTGTCTGGGCGCCAGGACTGTGATGTTGCTCTATGTATTTTTAAATGGTGAAAGAGAGGAAAAAGTGGCTAGAGGCAATAGCAACCGTTCAGAGATTTACAGAGACTATTAAACAAACTAGACCTTCTACTGAGTAGTTTCAATATAGTTTTGTTTAGTGGGTTGTAGGTAAGTGATATTGTCATCCAAACATAATTAGCTTGGCAGGCAAAGTATACCTGCTCTCATTGCTATAGGTCTTGCAGAGGTAGTATGGCTCTGGATCGCTTTTTGTGATACACATGTTCAAGCTAAAGACCTGCTTTCAGGTGTTTGTTCTCACACATGGCCCAGTAACACCTTTGCACAAAGGAAGAGTAATCCTCTAGTGTAAACTTAACAATGTACTCTGAAAAGGATGGTGCTACAAAGATTTATGTGGTGGTGGCACTCATCTTTCAGCATCTCAGAATCAGAGATCATTGCTTAATCTTTGGCTTCTAACCTAAATTCGTATGGGTGACAATTGAAAAATTAAGTTTTGACCTAGAAAATTGATAAATAACTGAGATAATAAAGTTACTCTTTACCATTGAAAATGTCCTCTGCCCTTTTTTTTAAGGTTTCTTAAATGTCTCAGTCAGATAGATTTCTTGGTGATATAAAGTAAACAGAGTGATTTATTTGAAGTTTTAGAGTCCGAAGGCCACTGAAAAATATAAAGTACATATTCTGAGCAAAACAAGTAAACAAAAATGTGCACATATTCACATAAGTTATTTTAAATCATAATCCAGTTATGCAGGTTCATGTGAAGTATGGTTATAGATCTTCCCTCTTTGTTCATTTATTTTGTCTTTCAGTTCATCTAGATCAGTTTGGATTTGTTTATTTCCTGTCTGAAATGAATAGGGAATATAATTCTGTGGAATTTATCACAGCTACTGGTCTGTCAGTTGCAGAGCTGTCAGTGGCACAGCATATATCCAGGAAGGAATTTTTCATCAGTTTAATCATGCTGGGTTTCTGCTGACTAGCTTTGTGCACTGAGCAGTCATAACTTTATACATGTGTGGGTTTTAAGTTAAATTTAATTGACTACAAAAAGATACGTGATTAACACCTCACTTTGCCATTAGTGTAGTAATCCAATTAAGTGCAAATTGAAGTAGGACTCTGTTAAGCATGGAGGAGACAGTAAATGAGCAGACATAGTTTTCAAGTTTGCGGATTTTGGTTATTTAGTATGAAATTTCAGTTGGAAGGCCTACTCTGTTTTTTTTTTTTGGAGTGATAGTCCACAAATGCATTCAAATTATGAATATTCGAATGGCCTGCCACTGAGAACAGAAACATGTTTGTTAGGTGCCCTGCTCACCTTCCTGCTCAGTGAGTGCATAAGGTGGGTCGTTCTTGTGTCATTACGTTTTTTTCTCAACTGCCTAATTCTGCTATGAATTTTCAGTAGGAGCAGCTATGCTTTTCTTTAGGTTTGATGATGTCTCCCAAGGCTCTTTTACACCTTGGATCTGCCCCTGCTTTGAGGTTGAATTTCATCCCATGCAAAAGTTTGTTAGTGTGACACAGAAGAACCTGCTCCCAGTAAGTGCTCCATGTGGTTCTTTAAGATCCTAGAAAGGATGGTGAGCTTGAACTACAGAAAATCTCTCCTTGAGAAAGCAGTGAAAGCTTTCTTTGATGTGGAACCCAGTGGGTAGCATGGGCTGGAAGGCAGTCAGACAAATCTGACTGCTTTATCTTTGATCTGCCGCTGGCCATCCTCCTTAGAAAGCCATCCCAAGAAAGTCCTCTCTGTCTTCTCCCTTCCAGACTGGTAAAGTCCAAGTCCTCTTGGGTCCTTGTGATTACTATAGAGGCTTCTAATTTGGTCATCCCCTTCAAAACCAGTTCAGCTACTGAAGGCCTGTATGAAATGCTGTAAGCATTTGTTTTCATCTTTATCCATTGTCTGCCTATCACAGCAGTCTGAGTCCTGCTGGATACATTAGCTCCACCAACACCATCGCTGCACTCTTTAGGACTGGTTATTTCCAGACTTGGAACCACCAATGCTAAACTGCTGCCTAAATCTCTCTCTGCTTTTGAAACTGTTCTTGGAACTAAAGTTGGTGATTCCAGCAACACCAAGATTTGCCATAAAATGAATGGCAGATCCCCAAAAGAGCCATACTTTCTGCAATGTCGTGGTTTAACTCCAGCCCCACACAGCTGCTTGCTCACTCTCCTGCAGTGGGATGGGGGAGAGAATTGGAATGGTAAATGTAAGAGAGAAAAAGGTTGAGATAGAGGAAAAGCTGTGTGCGCAAGCAAAGCAAACCAAGGAATGCCTTTAATACTTTCTGTGGGCAGATGGTGTTCAGCCGTCTCCAGGAAAGCAGGGCTCCATCATGTGTTACTTGGGAAGGCAAACACTATCACTTCGAACATCCTCCTCTTCCTCCTTCTTTAATCAGCTTTATTCCATACCGTATGCTGAGCATGACACCATACGGTATGTAATATCCCTTTGGTCAATTGGGGTCAGCTGTCCCAGCTGTGTCACCTCCT